ACTAAAAATGCAATTATGGAAATGAAAATTCCAAAAGGTATTTTATATATTTATTATTCTGTAAAGATATACATATATATTTATTCTTTAATCAATTATAATATAAGCATTTTAAAATTCGTAGAAATTCAAGAAGAATCAATCACTATGAAATGGGTCTATGGAAAAATGTCAAATTTTGATTATTTAATTGCTTTAAATTATCTTGCTGGTATATATATTTATATATATTTCTGACCTTCATTTAATCATCATTATGATAATAATAATTTTTTTGTAGAGCCAATTTTAATATAGAATACAATTTATAAATTAGGTCGACGTATTGGAGATCCAAATTTTCATCCGATATTACCATGGATTACTGATTTTAAAGGTTCAAAAGTGTCGGAAAATTGGCGAGATTTTACAAAAACCAAATTTCGTTTGAATAAAGGTAGTTAAAAGAACTACTCTGACAATAAGCCATTATTTATATACTCTGATTTATATTTATCATTATTATCATTATTATAATTATTAATATTACATAGGAGACAGTCATCTTGATGCTACATATGATGGTCCAATTCCTTATCACATTACGGATATTTTATCTGATATAACTTATTACGTTTATCTTGCACGCAAAACTCCAATACCGGTTTGTATTTATTTCTCTTTTTTTTTTTTTTTTTAATAATCAGTAGGAAAAATATTAATCTTTTTCCTTTAAAAAAAAAAATAAAAAAAAAAAAAAATAAAACAAATAAACAAATTAAAAAGGTTTTGTGTCAATACGTTAGAACCAAATATGAACCAAATGAATATTTACCTTCAATGAAAAGATTATTTGAATGGACACCTGACGAATGTATTCCTGAGTTCTACACTGGTATTGAGCCACAAAATAACTTATTATAAATTTATAAATTTTGTTTTTTTTTATAGTAAACAATTTTAGACTAAAATAATTGGTTTTTTTTTTTAAAAAAAAACTTAGACCCAAGTATCTTTACTTCAATTCATCCTGATATGCCAGATCTACAATTACCATCGTATGTTATATACAGATTTGATTAAATGTTAGAGGTTTTATAATGCTACTTTGTTAGCAGCTTGGCTCTCGAGCATAACACTAAATTAGATATTGATTATAAATTTATAAATTTAAATTTTCATAATAGTTGGGCATCCTCACCCGATGAATTTATCCGCATACATTCTGAAGCATTAGAAAGTGATTATGTATCAAGTCAATTACATCATTGGATTGATTTAACTTTTGGGTGTAAACTGAGCGGTATTTTTTTTTTCTTTTTTTTCAAATTAAAATATAAGCTTCCTTACGAGTTTTAATGTTGGTTTAATTTTGGGAATTAAAACAAAAGGTGATAATGCTGTGAAAGAAAAAAATGTCGCATTGCCGCTTTTAGATGGTCAGGGTTCTTTTATAAAACATGGAATTACACAATTATTTTCTGATCCTCATCCTCAAAAATCTAATAAAATTGCAAGGTAATATTGTTATTCTAAAAAATTCATTTTTTATTTTATTTTTTTTTTCGTTAGCTAATAAAAATAATCAAAACCCCTCCAAGAAATAGATTATTAAATAATGGAGGAAAGATAGGATTTGAAGACTATCGTTTAATTTCACCCATGAAAAGGATTCCTTCAAAATTAACCCATTCGTCAGATAAATTGAATCAACAGCAGTTGCAGTATCTGCAAAAACATCAGCAACAACAAGTTGATCTTATGGCTGATTCTTTTATTAATTCAGATAAGACTGTAGGAAAATATCAAACTGTATCAGCAAAATCAAAATCACCCAAACTTAGACCAGTTACAGCAACCAGGTCACATTCTTTATACGATGTCATAAATCATGATATTAGTAAAGATAACACACTTTCACCACTAGCAACGCCAAATGATTTTAAAGATGTACAATCTCGTATTGATACTCTTGTTGCTATTATCAGTACTATGCCTGTTGCATTTTTAGACAGGCTAATTTATTATTATCTTTCTTCCACCCAGGTGACCCGGATGCACCCAACCTGGTTCCAATCCCTATTCTGCAATCCTTCCACACTTTTGAGAACTGTTGATGCAACCACTTGAGTGCCACTATGAGATAGTAAATTTTGGGCCTATCAATTTTCCAGTTAATATTGACAAACTTATAACGGAAGTCATGTGATGCATTAAATATTACATCACGATCAACGACCATCTTTCTATATACAGAGGGTGATCACGGGTTTCCGAACGATTAAAAAACCGTTTACATTTATTTATTTACACTTCCTGGTCATAAATATAAGGACACTTGCAGATCATCGGAAATAATTGAATAAAGAAACATGAAAAAAAATAAAAATTTTATTAACCTAACCGCATTTGCTTATTAAGTAAAAATTCATCTTCATATCAAATAGTATAACATACTGAAGTTTCGCTGCATATAAACAACAACTTGTTGTTTTACGAACCTTAAAAAATAAAAATGAATTTTTCAGAATTTTCAAAAAAATCTTTAACTCGAAAATTGACCACAATGTCAAGTTCTAACGACCTTTGCGGTATAAGTAAAAATGCGTCTTATGTTTGAATCTAGTTATATCCAAAATTCTAAATCATTTAGTAAAATAATTAATGAGAAAAAAAAAATAAAATGTATATAGAATTTTGACTTCTATTTAAAAAAACAAAAAAAAAGGGGGTCGTATAGTAAAAAATTCGTCCAGGGGGGGGGTCTACAAATTTTTAAATTTTTGGACCAAATCTGGACCAAATTTCTGTCCGTTTAAGGGATAAGAGTTTGAGTTTTACATTTTTTTCACCATTAAAAAATCCTTAATAATGAAAATTAATATATGGCTTCATATATGTTGTAACACATATGATATTGGACCCCTCAGTGTGTGATGCAACCTGGATTGTCTGCAAGATTGAATAAAGATAAGGAAGAAGTTTTGAATTTTGGCAAAGTAATGACATGATTTGTGTGAACCAAATCTTTGAAAAAGGAAAAGCAAGTGTCAACACTACTGGTGCAAAAAATGTGGTGATTTTTTGAATGATGGAGTTATTTAATTCTGGCATGGAGAGTTTATGTGTTTTCTTTTTCTTTTAACTATTTCATATTTTTTTTGTTGTAAGGTAGTGATCATCAACCCACTAAAAAATGAAATGAGATTTTTTGGCATTGCCTTATGGTACTCATCAAGAGACTCTGGATTTTCTAATGATTGTTGATTTTCTTTAACTGCGGTATGTGATTTCCAAACTGAGAGTGCCAAATTTTTACCATAATTTTCAAATGTGTCTGGATTTAACTGACTTACATCAGGAAATTTTCCCCACCGCAATATTATGTCTGTAAATTTTAATATGTAAAGTTGTAATATTTGCATAAAAATTATGTAATATTTACACTCGATGTAATAATTTCATAATTTTGTATGCTTATTTGCATAATATTACGGGCCCGCCATAAACTTACATAAATAGTGTAATAATTATGTAAATCTACATCAGAAAAATTTCCTGATGTATTTCTGTGTCATAATTTTTTTAATGCAAATACTATATTTAGAAGAAAAAAACTTGGGATTATTTGGTTGTCAGAAGATATTGTTACTGCAGAATCTGATGATGTTGTTCCTGAAGATATTTCATTGAAATCTTTAATAACATTGATTAAATGATTTAATAGATTATTTTTTGCATTATTATCAGTTGATAATGCAATGTCATTAATAAACTTAGCAATAAGTTTTAAAGAAGATGTAGAATCTCCATTATGCTTCTCACTCTGAACACAAGAAACTGGGTTTTTTTCCAGAACCTGGTCTGGCATGAAGATGTCCACATATGATGCCAAGCAATCCGTGCAAATATATCTAACATGTTGCATATTTTCTGGGATGCTAGATAAATTTGGATATGGAATTATTACTGGACAATCATGCAATCCACGACAAGGTATTTGAATATTCCGTCCACAAACAGTCCACAAATGTTGCTGACAAGCTCCTCTTGAATAAAAACATTTATATTTGTTATAGAGTAGACATTTTTTTGTGTATAGTACTATTGGAGAAGGGAAGAGATGCTTTGATATGAGATTCCCCTCTCAGAGGATTGTGAAGTGCGTTTTGATTATAATTTAAATACTCCAAACACACACCTAATTTCTCAACATTATCTCCGACTTCTTTTACAACATCTGAGTCAACTTCAAAAGAACCAACCAAATTGTAAATACTTCTGTTCTTACCAGACTGATTACACTGTTCAATCATCTCTGGATTTTTGTCATAATCAATAATTACACATGATGTTACTTTAAACTTATCTTCTTTAGGAACTTCTTTATCAAATTTACATTCATTACTCATCTCTACATCATTATGGTCATCAAAAGCTCCATCAAGGCATTCATCATCTATATAATCAGCATTTATATCATCTTCAATTCAGGGAGATGCACAAATTATTATACAATTACAGGCTCGGTTGGATACTGCAAATAATAATTTCGATCTTCTTAACCAGGCCCACAATTTCCAGACGGGACAATTGCAAACATGTCAAGCTGAATTACAAAATTGGCGTAGAAAGCATGCAAAGAGAAAAGGTAAACATATCAAGCAAAAGGCGAAACACAAAAAATGGGAAAATAAGGAAAAAGGTTCGAGGCAAATAATTATAAATTTAAATCAACAAATTTTAGCGCTTCAGAATAATCCACCAAATATGGCGACACCTATAGGTGACTTGACTGGTATTGCACCTTTACTTGCAAATGTTGAATTTTATAATGGACAGGTTCAACCTGGCGAATGGTATAATGGAATTAATGCCATATTATCATATCCCGCAGTAACACAAATTGATGATGCTCATAAAGTTGCGATCTTGAAGAGCAAACTGGGTAAAAAATATGCAGATGTACCCAATCAACATGCTGGAAATAATATTGATACTCCAGCTCGCTTATACGAATGGCTATGTCATAAATATCAGATAGAAACAGTTGGGACACAACAAGTTGCTCTCCAGAGGCTAGCTTACGAAAAATTTTTACCTAATGATACACCAGATACATATGAGACTAGGATACGCCCCTTATTATTAGGAGTTGCTAATAACGATGCTAATGCCTTGTCATTCCTTATGAATCATTTGCCTGATGAGATTTTTAACCGAATGGAAAGTACAAATCCTGCAGATACCAATGCATTTTTCACTAATCTTAAGAATTTATGGCTCAAACGTAGGCCTTCTTCATTTAATTACGGAAGTGCGAATAATATGAATGGGATGGTGTCTCAGGTACCCCAACAAATCGTACAACAACCCGCGTTTCAACTGCCTCAGCAAATCGTTCAACAACCTACATTTCAACCACCTCAGCAAATCATTCAACAACCCGTGTTCCAACCACCTCAGCAAACCATTCAACCACCCCAGCAAATTGTACAACAACCGAAATCTCAACCACTTCAACGAATTCCAAATCCTCCAGTATATGAATATCAAAATTTCCGTCCAAAAACTGAGAAAGCAAAATACTATGAAGAGTTAAAAAATTATGCGGAATTGGGTCTTGAGACTGAGGATAATAGAGTATTCGAACCAATGGAAATTGATTATGCAATAGTCAATATTGCTAATAAATTAGATCAACTTGAAGGATTGCCCAGCTCCCCGAATTCATCAATAAATCTGGCTAGAGTTCCTAGAGTAAGTACTAAGCCGATCCAGCGCAAATGTGAGATTTGCAAAAGGCCAGGACATACTTATCGCAGTTGTCCCATAATTAAGAATATGATGGATAATAATTCTAGGAAAAGAACCGGTCGTGTGAATTTTGCCGATGGATTTCAACAAAGCCACTCTGACACAGAAGAACTCCCCGATGAATTTATCTCTGACAAAGAAGAGGATAATATATCCGATGAAGATTCCAATGTTGATATAGACAGAATTAAAAAAAAATAGAGCGACCTAAGCAAGTACTCAATACGACATCTTCGCAAAAGCAAATTCCGAAACGATCCAAAGAAAAGAAAGATGCATATCCTTCAGAGGGTAAGGAGATTCAAGTTTCTCCTCAAGTATCACAAAATCCCACTTCAACTTTACTGGAACGACGAATTCGTGAAATTATTCAAAGTGAGCTTATAAATTCCACTTTATTAGAGGAGGCTATAAGTAAAATCTTACAAAATTTTCAGAAACCTAGTACCGCAAATGATACACTCCAACAAAGCGAAACTGAAGATGAAGAAATTATCGAAGGTATGGAAATTAACTTTATCCAGGATAAAGATGTGATAGATGTTCCAACTGTTCGGGGTAAAATCAAACGTCTAGTACTTTCAGCGATTACAATTGATCCTGGCTCAAATACTTTGCTTATGTCTAGAGACATTGCTGAAACGTTTGGGTTTAAAAATCGATAAAAGTACTACTCATTATTTCAAGGGAGCAACCACTGTTCTGACAAAATCTATTGGAATGGTTTATAATGTACTGTTAACCCTAGCCCCGGATTGTGTATTTTATTTAGATTTTGTAGTTATTGAATATGATAAGCCTATGCTGTTATTGAGTAATCCCTTCCTTTACCGTCACAAATATCAAATACTAGGAGATAAGGATTTACTGAAGATCAATTGCAACGGGAAAGATTTTTAAATTCCAGTTACTATGCATAAAGTCGAAAATAAGCTTGAGGTACATCACGTTAATGCAATTCCATCTATTTCTGAAGATACAGATACAGAGTTAAAAAAAAATGCGTAAATTGTGAGAGGGGTATCAAAATCATTACTGAGCTTAATATTCGTAACAGACTTTTACAATCAAAATATGAAACTATGAATAAAAGGAAAACCGATTAAAATTTACTGGAGGTAGACACAGAGTGACTATTTAATATATGATCTGAACTTTATTAGCTCCTCTCCCTCCTTTAATACCTTTTCAAGTTGGCTATCACTATTAGTGGATGGATCAGAAATTCGTACAGATTTGGACTTCGATCGCCTCTTTTTCGTCTGTTTATCTGGAATATCAGCAGAGCTATGCAAAGTTATTTTGGTGTCTTGCGATTGAGAATCGAGATGGAAATCATTATTTATATTTTGTCCAGGGATTTCAGTGTTTGGCAAGTAATCATTTACAAGTATAGATGGTTGAGATGAATGAGAGTATATCATTTGTTGTTTACGCTCCCGATTTTCAATATAATCTTCGGCTCGAACATAGGATATACGATATTTTTTTGCCATAGAATTTATAGCATCAGGTACTCTACCGGGTGATGTTTTAATATCTTTGATTGCCTCAACTGATAAAAATCTCGCATTAGCGCTATAATATTCTTTATGAATACGACCCATATCAGAAATTTTCTATTGTTTATAGCTATTAAAAATAAAGAAAAGTTTCAAAATGTTTCGAGATGTTTCAAAATGTTTGTATATGTTTCAGAATATTTATTTTTTTTTAATATGCATAAACATTTGTACTAATTATTTATCATATCCACAAATTTCCATATATCATGGATAGATGTATAAGATATGTGATACTTTTTAGCTAAAATCGATATTGCATTTTGCATACCTCTACTATTTATTATTTCACAAATGGTTTCAGGTAAAAGGTATGTTTTATTTAATCGAAATCTTTTAGATATTCTCTAATAATCAGAAATTTTATGATTTATCTTATTTCTATTACACATAGTTTAGCCAAAATATATGGCCAATGTGCAAGATAAAGAATCTCGTATTGTAAAAGTTATATCTGAATTAAATTCTCCTAATAAAAAATTACAAGACAGGTACATAAAGCAAGATCAGGTGTTTGATCGTGAACGGAAAGATTGGGAACAGGAGAGAAAAAAATGGAGTCAGACACTAGATGAATCCAATACTGCGATTCAGAATTTACGTGCCCATGATCTGGAGCTTATTGCTGAGACTAAACGTCTGCAGATTAAAAATGCTAGCAAAGATATTTCTCTTGCAAGTTTTAAAGCCGATAACGATATAAATTCCAAGAAAATTAGATCACTTGAGTCTATGATCAAGATATTGGAAGGTAAGTTGAAATCGGCTCAGATGGATGTGCTTTCGGTTCAAAATGACTTGTTGGAAAAAGAATCTGAGAATCTATCCCTCAAATCTAAAATAGTTGAATTAGAAAATATAAAGAGTGAATTGGAATTAAAAGTTAATGAGCTTGAGCGTCTGAAATCGGAGGCTATATCAAACCCCGTACTTGGTGGAAACGATGAAAAAAATACGCTGTGCGAGGAACAAAGTTCCATGACCAAGTCTGATGATATATCTGCAGTTATTGAACCTAGTAAAGATCTTAGTCAATATTTTCTA